ATGTATTTACACTGTTTAATGCATTAAATACTTTAACCTGCAATTACAAATGCATAAATAATATTTTGATATTTTAAACATAAAACATTGAAAACTGATGTTTGAGATTATTTTAAAAATGAAAAGGCACTTTAAATGTGAAATTAAAACTGCCAGTAGGTGGCAGCAAATCACTGTTAAGTGAGTCATTGCGATTGAACCGAATCATTTAAACGGTTGATTTTATCAGGAAGGAAACACTGTCGTGTTGCTCAGAGACGCAAAACAGTGCTGTGGCTGTGTTTGAAATTATTTTTGTTGGAGAAATAGAGCAAAGGCAGGAAATATGGTGTCTAAAACGTAAGTATCTTAATATTAACTTGCTTATTGAACTGTTGTAAGAAATCAATATCACATTTGTAATCATGCTGACTTTTGGCACTCTTCGTGTGATATTAACTATATGAAATTATATAAATATATACATTTTCTGCCCCATCTTGAACTATGTGATAATTCTAAATGCATTTTAATAGACTGATTAATGCAGTGAAAGAACGCACTATAAATGTGCACGCGCACTAGTCTAACCTGCTAGACTTCTTCATCTAATGTATGCGTGCATTCTATAGGTGTTTTGTTTGCTTTCACGATATACTCGATAATATCAAATCGCACATCCTTAAAACAACAATTACGATATTATCGCAGACCATACATATCGCACACCCCTATACTGTTTAGATTTTTATAATGCATTGTCTTCTTATCGATCTACCAGTTCACATTTAAAGCTCTGCGTGTTTGCAGGCTAAAAACATGGGTCGATTTTCGCATTTGTCTGAACTCTGAACAAAACAACAGATTTATTGAAAATGCTCATTCATTCTCTGCCAGCAGGTGGAGCGTTTGGTAGAAATATAACTGTTTCCCCAGTAACAGCAGAACACAAAGCAGGGAAGCACCGGACTTTGAACGTGCAGCACTCGTGTATATGCAATGAAATCATAGCCTTTTGAAGTTTAATCGTCACATTCAGCCATATTGCAATTCTGGTCTTTCTGTCTCCAAATTTAAGACCTCTTGAAATCATAATTACGACTTTCTCGTACAATTTAAGACTTTTTAAGGCCTTAAATTTGATACAACTAATTTTAAGACTTTTTAAGACCTGCGGAAACCCTGTCACGTTTGTTTTTCGCTTTAGTTTGACTTTTTTGTCCTGCACCTGAGCCCTATTTGGGTTTGTGGCATGTGCGCACCTTTTTTCATTTTTGATGTTAAATGGATGGTCCACCCAAAAATTAAAACTGTCATCACTTCCTCACCCTTAATATGATTCTAAACCTGTATGATTGACTTTTCTTCTGCTAAACACAAGAAGAGTGTTGGTAACTAAACCGTTTTCATTCTCTTTGCTTTCAATGGAACAACATGATGCCGAGTAAATGACAGAATTATCATTTTGGGTGGACCATCTCTTTAAATATGTATTGTTTAACAATACAAACCACAATATTTCTCAAAAAATTCATAATATGATCTTTGGATCAAATCATGCAGTTGTAGTCCTAATTCCAACCCTAAAATCGTACTGGTTCAGAGGCATTTTGTTAAAAGACCAATAGGGATGTAGATCCAAGAATATATTTTACTTGGTAAAATCACGGTTACCAGCTCCAGCTACCACTCTCTTCCTATAATGTACTCAAAGAATGTATTACTTAATGCAGTCAATGTGAATTTCACCTTCTCTAGAACCGCATGTGTACGTAAGTGCGAACCGATGCTCTTTTTTCCACGGTTCCCCCTCTTCACAGCGTGTTGAATGTGGAGAGTGTGTGTGAATCTGACTCATCTCCTTTTGTAAAAAACAAACACACACAAACGTACACCCACGCACACCTCAGTGTCCATCTCGCCCTATGGTGTGGCGAAGACAGGCATGCGGGTCCAAAACTGTCAACATGAGTAAGGCTATAGGAATCCATTACTCAATAATTCAGCACAGAGAGCTGAAAGTGTCTGGGTGAGACTGGGCATTCACACGGCAGGCTGGGAGGAAAAAACAGCCTTGCATGGGCATGAACAGAGAGGCAACAGACAGCAACTTGTGCAGATGAGAGAATGAGTGAGAGGCTGCCCAGTAGCTGGGTAGATAGCAACATGAAAACAGGAGGCGAGGGTAGGCTTTTTTAGATGCCTAAGCCTGGACAGTGCGTGATGTGAGGGCTAGATGGGTGGGACACTAAGTAGATGCGGGCTACAGGGCCGCCACACATGAGTCCACGTTGATAAAAGCAGCAGTATCTGGTGGAAGCCCTTAAAAAAAGGCAGCTGAATGCCCTCCCCCTCCATCAGAGTCACACACGAGAGTCAGACAGCGAGATGAGAGCAATAAGGGTCTGGTAATGGAATGAAAACACTCCAAAACAAAACAAGGGCAGCTCTCTGAATGCAGGCCCTTTTCATGTGCGTGGCAGTGTCTGGGTGAAAAGACCGTGTGGGTTTGTGTGTTCTGCTTCAAGAGACAGGCTAGAAACCGGAGGGCCGATATATATCAAAGCAAACGAAGTTCAGATGCACTGCACCTTGCTGGTAGAATGGTCGGAGGTCTGTGCCCTTCTGTCCAATCAGATTGCAGAGGAGAGCCATGGCGTTCTGCATCGTGCTGCCGACTGTGACTATGCCTTATGTTAAAATCTCTAAATATCTAAAATCAATATCGAAGGGGGAAAAAAAAGTTTGAAAGCACCACGTTCAAAGCTGTGTGTAAATTAGCGGATATTGCTGTGACTAAGCATAATTTGAATTCTACACAGCCTGAAATGTTTATTAGTGGATCATACTGATGAGAAGTGTGTTTCATGTTTATAAACAAGTGGTTCTCAACCAGCAAGTCTTAATATTATTTAAATTTAGTTATATTAGCATAATCTTATTTTAAATGATAAAAGAAGTCAAGTCAAGTCTGCTTTATTGTCAATTCTTCCACATGTACAGCACATACACACAGAGAATTGAAATTGTGTTACTCTCAGACCCTTGGGTCTCATGGCTGTGCAGTACATTGATTTCATTAGGTAGTCATTTTGGCATTTTACTCCATGTTGTGCCAAATAACTCCCCTTAACCACAGTATTATCACCGAAACACAAGAGTTTTTGTTGCTTATAGCTGTAATCCAATGCAGTAAATCACTTCCAGTAAGGAAAAAACTGCCTGCTATAAAACAGACAACAGCAAAAAGTGTAGATCATCAATTCCACTTTTGTGTAGCGTCTACTATTTTCAAAAGTGGAGAGTGAACCTAACTAGAGAGGGCAGAGGTGCTGTCAGATAGAGAGCCACGCCTCTGCCCTTCTCATCTCTCACCCAGGGCAGACACCCGAGGCT